TGGGAACTACATCAGCTCTTTTCCAGTCCTCTGGTAGTTCCCCAGTGCTCCAGGATCTTTGAAAAATATAGTTCAGTGGTTCTGAGATCACATCTGCCAGTTCCTTGAGAACCTTGGGGTGTAATCCATCTGGTCCTGGTGATTTGAACTCATCTAGGCTGGACAGGTGCTCACTTACCATTTTCTTGCCTATCTTAACGTGTTTCTATTCTGTTTTTTATGGCACTATTTTTGATGGTCTGTTTTTTTCTCTTTGTGTAAAGACAGATGCAAAAAATGAGTTAAATAGTTCTGCTTTCTCCCTGTTGCTTGTCACCTTCTTGCCACTTTCATCCACTAATGGACCAATCATTTCCTTCACTTTTTTCTTGTTTTTTACATGTTGAAAGAAGCTTTTTTTGTTATTTTTGACTTTGGTCGTAAGCCTTAGTTCATTTTGAGCCTTAGCTTTTCCTCACTTCATCTTTGCAGGCTCTGGCTATTTGCTGATATTCTGCCTTAATTATGTGTCCCTCTTTCCACTTTCTATACTTGTCCTTTTTATCTTTCAATTTATCAGAGAGTTCTTTATGCAGCCATGCTGGTTTCTTTTGAGAGCTGTTATTTTTCTTCTTTGTTGGTATTGTACTAGACTGGGCTTTTATTATCTCACTTTTCAAAATTTCCCAAGCTTCTTGAGTTGTTTTCCTCTTGAGTATTCTCATCCATGGAATCCTTCCCAAGCCCTCTCTTATTGAAATTAGCTCTCTTAAAGTCCAAGACTCTAGTTTGACTGTGTTCTATTGCTTGTGCTTCCATAATGTTGAATTCCAATATTGCATGATCGCTTCCTCCCAAGGTTCCTGTGGCTTCAACACCTTCTATCATTTCATCTCTGTTAGTGAGAATTAGATCCAAAATGGCTAATCCCCTAGTTACCTTATCTACTTTTTGGGAGATAAAGTTGTCTGCTAGGTTTGTCAGGAATCTGTTTGATCTTCCACTTGGTGCAGAGTTTGTCTCCCAGTTGATGTCAGGATAGTTAAAGTCCCCCATTACTATTGTGATGTGCTTCCTGCATATCTGAGTTAGCTGACTAGCAAAAAGTTCATCTATTTCCTCTGTTTGGTTGGGTGGCCTATATAGTATACACCTATGGCAATGTCATTTCCCCCCCTTTTATATTGACCCAAATGCATTCAGGACAGTTTTCATCATTGTTGTGCTCTATTTCTATAGAGATGTAGTTATTTCTTATATAGAGAGAAACTCCACCTCCTCTTTTATTTGGTCTGTTTCTTTTAAATAATTTAAATCCCTCTAGCTGTGTGTTCCATTTGTGGGTTTCATCCCACCATGTTTCCGTAATGGCAACAATATCATATCTGCCCTCATTAACCTGATTTTCTAATTCAGGTCCAATGGCTGCAGGCAAAGCATTGGGCTGCAGGGACCCATGTTTTCTCCAAAAAGGTTCAAAGGCCTTTGAGGATCCAGGATCATAACTTAATTTGCATATATATGTATATGTATACTGCAACCCCTACCAATTTCATCCAGGCTACATAGCTGTAAGGGTAGAATGAATGAAAAATCATGGTTGGTCCCATTTTAATCTCTGTTTAACTTCATTTGGCACTCACTGTTGTAATTTACCCTTGAAAAACATGCACCAGAGGTTTATTGGTTAAGGTTACCTGTTCTTCAACCAAAATTGTTTCTCAGCTTCTCTTCCTATGAAAAGCTTTTGAGAATCCTACTTGACTGATCTGCATTTGTTATATTTTTAACATGTTTATTCTACACTGTATTACAGGGATATTTCTCTTAAGGTCATATAAAACATGTATTGGAAGACAGAGTAAGCTATTGATTTCTTTGCAGAGTTCCTCAAATGAACTTTTATTATTCTGAATAATTTAGAAGACTGATTTTAATGAGAGCTTTAAAA